TTGTGCAATTTCAATGTCTGTGTCAATGATATGTCTGTAATTATGATAAATGTCTGTGTGCATTTTTTCAGATTGGAATTGCAAATTCCTGTTAAAGATTTCTTTCCAGCGCAAATCTCCGTAAGGTCTGCATTCGAGTACGCATTGGATGTTTTGAGTGATTGCTTGACATTGCAGCAGATGACATTGCTAGTGAAAACGCCTTGGGGCCATTTGCTTGATGCTCCAGCAATGCAATTCTCTGGGCAGCTAATACATTTGTTGTTGTTGCGCAACAACAACAACTCCTTCTCCATCTTCACTGTCAGCCAACTCCTTCTTTTTAGCAAGCTGCTCTTCAGTGGCTTTAAGCCTCTTTTCAAGATCCGCAATTTGTGCACGCAACAAACTCAATTCATTACTTCGAACATCTTCACCTGTGCTTTCTTCATCATCGTTCTCCGCCTCCTACGACGTAAACAATTCCATAAATACTCAACTTTCCATGGCCCAGTAAAAACAACACATTACCCCTTTTAATTACCTCCACAATATCTTTGAACACAATCTTTTGAAGCCTGTGTGCATGGAAAAACCCTTGTGCAGTCCACTTCAAAATGGGAACATCTCTGGTAGCGGGGACACGTATGGCAAATTTCTGAGCAAGCACAGGAAGCTCTTCATATGCCCAAACCTACACACCATGTCATACAGACAATGTATTAATGTATACAGACAGTGTATATAATTACAGACAGTGTATACAGACAATTCCATTTTTAAGTAAGCAGGTTTACAGACAAATTCATCAATACCTGTAAAGCAAAGGGGAAGCCATGCAAACTGAACTTGGCGTTGCGATACTTGGGTTTTTTCTTCTTTTTGGCCTGAAACTTCTCCGGCTGTCCTTTCATTGTCTTCTTCATACTCTTCACCGTGAGGTTGTAAGACTCTAAGGACCACGGGCATGATTTAAAGAGTTCAAATTCATCCACTAAACACAAGTGAGCGGGGCGTATCCTTGTTGGCGGATCTCGAGCTAGGAGGCAGGAATGGACCAAAAACAAAGAAGCCAGCTTCACTCGATCCATCACATCTTCGTTAGGTTCCATTGGAGTATTTCTAATTTCTTCAACTTTTGCCTTCAACTTACTGTATGTAACATCAACACACCCTCCAAAATATTTATCGACCACACCCAACCGTGATTCATCAAAATCATATGTCGCCCACTCGACCTGATCTTTGATTCCAGTAACCCTCTTGAAGTCCTTGTAAGTGAACTTCAGCAACTTCCCATCCACCGCAAACCATAACTCATCAGCAGGCTGGTGACGCACTTGATGCATGAAGAGGAACATGTGTGTACATATAATTTAGTGTCTGCAATTCTATTATGGGTTGTCTGTATGGATCTTTTGTGTATGGCATTAGTTTTTAATGTGGTATTTTCAATCATATTATAGGTTAGTGAGAATACAGATGAGGTTGAGGAATCTGATGCGGCCGATGAAAGTGATGAGGCTGAGGGAACTGAAGAGGCTGAGCAAACTTTTGAGGCTGAAGAAACTGATGAAGCTGAGGAGGAGGTTGTCAATGTGGAAGCGGTTAGTAGTGATGAAGACATGGAATTGGATGTTCATCACGAAATTGTTGAACCGAACGAAGAGGTAAATGTCTGTACTTGTTGCATAAATGTTTGCTGTTCTCTTAATACATCTGTAATTGTTGTATATAAGAAATATGTTTGACATATATTTTAGGCTGTTGAAGAGATGAATGCGAACATTGGAGCTTCCGAAGTTTTAAGTGTGGAACCTGATAAGGTAATGGTGTTAACTTGTCTTCATTATTCTCTGTAAGATATATGTTTAAGCCCATACAGATTGTTTGTATATATTGGTCAGGATGTTTGTATACGTTATTACCTAAGTAATTGAACATATATTGTTACACATTTTAAAGATGGTTTGACATATCATGTAGTGTGTTGAATCTGACATGGTAACAACATTTGAGGATGTCAATGCCAACAATGGAGCTTCCCAACTTGCAATTGTGGAACCCGACATGGTAAGATATATGGTTAAGGCCATCCATATTGTCTGTATGCGGTGGTGAGGATGTCTGTATACATATATATATGTTGTCTGTATTTGTAACATATCTACTGTTAAACTATTACATCTAGTGCATATAATGTCTTTAGGATTGTACGTAAATGGTCAAATATTTTGTAGGCTGTGGAGGTTGCAGAGCAAATGCATGCAGGACTTGGCCCCAATGAAGCAGAATGTGAAGAGGTACATCATAGAGAGGAGGTGAATACCTTAGTGGTTGAAGAGGTAAATGTGTTTGTAATGTATGTCTTTATTTGTCATTGTGGTTGTCTGGACCCCAAATGGTAAATGTCTGGACCTTTATTCTGTTGTCTGTATTATTATGGTGAGGTTGTCTGTATTGAAATTTTATGTGTTGTTTAAACCTTTTGCAGAATGCGGACACCGACAAAGACCAAGCAGATGGTGGTCATGGCGGTCTTTTTAATGATGTACAATTCTAGCATATCTAACAATGTTTTTCGGATGTAGAGGATGAGTGGGTTGGGACAACGTCTCTAAGACTGCTTAAACAAAATTTAAAAACACCAAATTTCATTACGGTTTGCATACGTTATTTATGTTCAATGATGTTCGAACAGATATGTCAGAGTCCAGACATTGTCATCACAAATGTGATGAATGATGTAAGTGTTGATGAGTTATTAAATACTATTGTATGTGGTATTGTGTTTCAAATCACACTTTATTGTGATTTACTTTACAATGTCTATTTCAATTTTTAAGTTGATGTTGATGAACGAGGAAGTTGGTTTATTTGAAGAATGTCATAGCACCCGAGAATTGTTGTTGTTCCCAAAAGAGGTGCACTTGTTTTTCAATTTGAAACGACGTAACACAAGGAAGCATTTTAGTCAAAGACAAACCATCGGCTTGAAATTCTTTTTCAACCTTGAATCTTAAAGCGCGCCCATATTGATCAACAAACTGTTTTAGAGTAGTTTTAGAATTCACATACTCGTCAAAGAAGGAGTTCATGCCTTCACTACGTTGAGTGGTAGACATACCAGCCCAAAAAGTAGGTCTCAAGTAACAAGGTACCCAACGATGACGTTCGTTGTACATCACCAGCAACCATTCATCATGTTGTAGTGAAAACCTGAAAAACACAGAAAATAGTTACATAGGGAGAACAGAATTGTCTGTACAGGGACAAATTGTATATATTTCACGGACGATGTACTTTGTCTACAGACAATGCATTCTGCCAGACACTATTGAAAATATATATATATATTCAGTACATCAAAAAACCTTGTCTGTGCAGGGAAAATGGTATATATTTGACAGACAATATCCTTTACGTACAGACAATATATGATGTCAATCAAGCCAAATATATATATATATATATATATATATATATATATATATATATATATATATATATATATATATATATATATATATTCAGTACAAAAAATATAACTTCTCTATACAGGGAAAATGGTATATATTTCACAGACAATATACTTTACTGACTACAGACAATACATTTGACAGACGATATACATTGTGCGTTGTGTACAGACAATAAATTCTGCCAATCATGGAAAAATATATATTCAGTACATAAAAAAAAGTTTACCTTTGGAGCATAGCTTCCCAACCTGCCTCAAACTTTGAAGTGTCATATGAATCATAAACTAGGTCATGAATGTTGAACATTATGTAATATTTATCCGCAAGTCCACCAAGTTTTTCGGGTAACTTCTTCATGATGTGCCACAAACACCAACAGTGCCTTGTATCCGGAAACACAATTTGAATAGCATTTTGCATGGCACGATCTTGATCGGTTATAATGCCATCTGGAGCACAACCCTCCATGCAATCAAGCCAAGTTTTAAAGAGCCAAACAAAAGTTTGTGTGTCTTCATTTGAGATTAGGCCACATCCAAATAATATAGATTGACCATGATGATTTACACCCACAAATGGTGCAAATGGCATGTCATATCTATTACTTAGATAGGTTGTGTCAAAGGTAATGACATCTCCAAAACTTTTGTAGGCATATCTACTTCTATTGTCAGCCCAAAACACATTTCTCAAACGTGACTCATCATCTAAATCAACACTAAAGAAGAAACCGGGACATTGTGCTTGCATTTTTGAAAAAAAAAACCTTGTATTGCCATGGCATCACCAGTTCCTAGCCTAAGTTCCCTAATTTTTTCTATGTAGTCCCTACAATCCTTTTCAATAAAAGGTAGGGCATCGTACCCTCCCGCTTCAACAACAACAGAGTTAAAGCTCTTGTTTAGTGGAATTCCCGCAACTTCATTAATAGCAAGCTGTCTCATCGCATTTGATGTCAATTTCCTATAGCAACGAAATAGTCTAGATTTTGTGGGACTCATGGGATGATTATGTTCTAAAAACACTTTTGAAATTTCCCATGAACCATCATATGTAGTGTGTGCTCTAATTCTTGCCTTACAAGATGTTTGCATTGAAGCTTGAGGCTTCAAACAGTTTAGTGCCTTGCTAGGTCTACTTCCCGCACGTGAACACTCTAATTGTATGGACACTATGTCGGTTTTGGTTCTATCCTTCGTTGATGTTCTTTTCCTAACCGGAAATCCTATCCTTCTACCATATGTTTTGTAAAACTCATAAACCGCCTCAGTGCTTTCAAACTTCATGCCCACTTCCGGAACAACCTCATTAGCATCTTCTTCATCGTTATTATGGCCTTCTTCATCTGTTATTTATAAATATGTATATACAGACAATATTATTTAAGTACAGACAATATTATGTAGAGGGACACATTATGGACAGTGAGACAACTTATTTGTATACAGACAGTATAAGTTTAACACACTAGGGTAGAACTGGTTTATAAACTACAAACAATGATGAAACCACTTCAACGTATAAATACAGACATTAAAAGTTTAAAATTATTAATATTGACAGACATTATTAATACAAATACAGACAAACAAAAATAGTATTATAATGACATTATCTTCATAATGTCTTCCCATAGGGTGTGACCACTCACAAACATACGTATTGATCAATAAATGTCTGTACGAAAACACAACAAATGTCTCCACCAGACAATTTACTTCTATATATAGTATAAACAGACAATACTATTTTGTCTGCAGTTAAAAAAACTCTCTTTGTGAAGCTTCAATACCAAACCACATAACATCCATGAAGAAAAAACAAACCAACCTTGATCAGCATCCACGGCTTTCACATCCGCCGTCCCTTCATTGCCTACCGGAGTGTGTTCAACTCCTTCCGTCGCACCTGTCGCACGAGTCGTCGTGTCTTCATGGCCTTGCATCATGGGTTCCGTCGCATTTTCAAAGCCTTCCATGGCCGCTGGCGTGTTGCCGGGACTTGGACCAAATATATCCTCCCATCTCCAGCCCAGGCCAAGTTCGTCGTCGCCTCCATACGTCTTACTCGGTTCCATCGCCGCCTCAGAATCTCGATCAGCGCCTCCAGACGAAAGAAACGAATGAAACAGACAATTCTTCTGCGCAGGGGAGAGAGAGATGGACGAAGAAAAAAAAGGGAGAGAGGCGGGGGTTAATACAGTTAACAAGGGTGGGGGTGGGGCTTTTTAAGTTGTGTAATAGGTTGTGTAAGGGGGAGTGTACATAGCGACTTCTCCTTTCACTATATGCACAAACCGTCGTTTGAGTCTCGTCGTCCTTATGCGCTCACACTGGTGAATTGAAACACTAGCAACGGGGACATATCAGACCCGATCGAGCACATAATCGATTGTTGAACAATGACGACCAAGACGGCAACTTCTTATTATGGATAGATATATCAAAGCAAGAATATTAATTAAATAACGATATTAATAAAAATAATAATTACAACAACATAAATAAAGTTTGCTAGCTTAATATTTCATTGATTAGGATACCTAATTAACAAGCTCCATATGGCCACCATGCTAATTCTGCCTACCGGATGGACCAGAAGGAGGGACAATTTGACCTTTTGGCAGCATGTTTAGTATTCCTGCATCATTTTCATCAGCTTGACCGCTCCGGTGGGGAGCGTTTGGCCTCACAGGCTTTAACCCTATAGTATGAGCACCATCGTCGAGGTCTTTCCTGGTTCTTAAGGTTCCCATTCTCATGCTTGAAGATGAGTTCACAGAGAGGGAAATGAGCAGAAATAATGAAACGGTGAATCTCCATGAACACGGTGATGCGGTCTTTGATTGGAAACGAGAGGCCATTGAAGGATGTCTTTGAGTGGATGGAATTGAAGATTATATATCTCTGCTTTTTTTTCTTTTCAAACTTGCTAGCTAGGTCACTTCTTTTCTCTGGATTGAGGAGAATTTGGCTTGGAACGTACGTGATTTATATATATAGATGCTTGTGCTGATATGATGACTCAATCTCGAAATTATTTGTTCAATAAATTATCTTTTGGATTCTTGGGATTGTTATTTAACTATATGCTACTTATGATACTTGATAGTAAGAATATTTTTAATTAGATTGAAACTTTTTGTCTGATCTGATTTGGTCTGTTTAAGTTTTGTTTGAACTAATCTGGTAGCTGGATGTGTGATTTATGTGTATTTTACAACTATTGAATTCTTTAATCTATTGAAGTCTTTGTATAATCTTTTCTGATTTGATCTAATCTAGCCTGATATTGAAATTAGTCTAAGTAAAAACATTACTAACTTATTTGGGCTATTTAATCAAGAGATATTATCCGAAATGGGACTAAATAGGTTTGAAAATTCCAAAATGGGACTGTCATGTTTTTATTCTCAAAATAGGACTAATTACTGTCATGTTTTGGCAGTACCAGACTTAAAACATGACAGTATTTTCCAAACTTGACTGTAATTACTCCTATGTTGGGAATAAAAACATGACAGTCCTATTTTGGAATTTTCAAAATGTTTTAGTCCCATTTCGGGAACTTTCCCTTTAATCAATAGCTTAATGGATTGTCCATGGTTAAATATTTGAGTGCATGCTGTATGCAATACTTGAAACACAGATAGTATCCTATAAGAAGTTCTGTATAGTAACTGAAATAGCTAACATCATTAGGTTGACCATAAGAACTACTCCGTATACTTGAAATATTTGAGTGCATGCCTTGAATCGTACGTTGACTATAAGAAGTTCTATATCGTAACTGAAATGGCATCATTAGGTTGACCATAAGGCCTACTCCGTATAGTACTAAATATGATTTTGACTGGTTTTTATTAATGTTTTTTAACTGTCCCACACTCTAACTGATTTGGGCCTAATGATCGAGCTCATTAGAGGTAAGACCGATATTGCAATAGAACCCATGTATTCTTGAGTGTGTAAATGTCATCCTTCAATTTCTGGATGCATGGAAATATGGTCCTCGCCGATATTGTAAGTGTCACCGATCACATTTACCACAATTTGAACAATTGATTGTGATATTTACAAACTTGAAAATACGGGACGTACATTACAATATGTGTACTATTTGAGGGGTTGAAAGTGCAATTCTTTCTTAATACGGAGTAATAAATATAAATATTAAAGGATTTTTGAAGAAATTTATAAGTATTTTACATTTTTTCTTATATGTGACGACTATTCAAATTTTAGAACTTGATCAATAAATAATGTAGACTAGTTTGTGACGGATGTTACTTGTTTAAGTTCGTGACAAGACTTGATAAGATGATGGCCCTTCAAGTATTTTCGGATTCTTGTTCAATTTAAACTTAAAACAATGAATTAAAATATTAAAAGTTGATTAAGTATTGTAAGATATTAGGACTTCTCTTTCAAATCGGGTTTAATACACCAAACCCCCTTGTAATATGCTCCGATGCAAATTTGGAGCATTAGCCCATGTGATTTAATAAACACGCCAAACCCATGTGTTTTACTTATTCATGCGCAAAACTACCTTTAAAAATAAATTTAATTTCCGAATAAATGGAATTGATTAATATTTTTTCATTATTTAGAGATCATGACAAATTTATTTGCAAAGGGCAGATCATATCAGGTCGGCCTGACAGAATCCGATGTTTGCCCAAGACCATTTCAGGCCCTTTGCGGTGAGTTTTTTTGAGCATGTTCTTCATCATGTTTAACTTACGCCCATTATATATCAGCTAAAAATTCAATTAGTAAGTAAGTCAAATGTGGAATTGAAAGACACTGCGATGTTTATATATATAAAACGCAGATTTATTAAATAATTTATTTAAATGTTTCCCTTATTGAGTTTTAAGCTGCAGATATTGGTGGGCATAAAGTAGACTTGATGAATAACATGTTCACAAAATTTGATCAAACATTTCCTCTAGAAAATGTCCCCAAATGGCCTTGGTCGAACAACAAATCTTATCAGACCGGCCGACATGACAGGATCGCTACTCTTTACTTGCATACTTAATCATAATATTAAGAAAGAAATTTATAGCAAGTTGCCATAATTTACAGACGCAGAATCTATTGTGCAATAATGAAGTTGCGATGTATGATCGTAAACCCTAATGCAACTTCTTTTTCTAAACCCTAATGCATTATCTATGGTAATTAACACATATGTTGTTTTCTTTTGGACTGAAATTTGCTGGTCTGGTCTGGTCTGGTCTGATATGGTCTGGTCTGGTAAACGTCTGGTCTCTGTGTAATTTTAACTAAGGAAGTTTGGTCTGGTCTGATCTGGTCTGGTCTGGGACTGAAAACAGTCTAAAAGAAAACATTTGTACACCCCGTACAATATAATGCAACTTCTTTTTGTGAATTTGAGGCTAAATATACCGAAGTAAGAATAATACTATTTTTTGGAAGAAATAGGCTTAAACTGATAACACATCATTTACATAGTAGGTAATCCGACAAAAGGACTACTGACAATCGTCCTACCTCGAACCAGACTCAGAGCTAATCATCTCAGCAATATAACTCGTTGATCCATTTATAGGCACAAATGAGCCAAAGACGGTCATTATAATCATTCTGTCACCACATCCAAATCCAAAACCATAGTCTTACAACCGAAACTAATAAAAAAACAAACAGAAACAAACAATCTCAGATCATTAAAATAAATAAAAGCAAAAAAGTAAATGTCTTTACTCAGCCTTCCAAGAACCACCATCTTCCAGAAACCTGTCGCTGACCCTTAAAGCATCATCCTCGACGGTGGTTCAGGAGGGGGACGAATCATCAACTCTTCATCTTGAAAAATTCCCAGCAAACTCACTGCCATAATTTCCAACTCCTCGGCATCCTCTTCAATATTCAAATTTTTGTACTGGTGAACCATCCGCTCCATATATATAGCCTTTGCCACCTCCTAACATGCTGACAAAACCCCTAGCGAGAATCGGACCCACTAACTTCTTCGCGGGAACCATTGATGCCGAAAATTAAACTACTCGGACCTCCTGTCAACCCAATCGTATACTTCGGCTACCTTGCTGGTCACCACTATCTTCTCCTCCACCTGAATCTCCCTATCCACGAACGAATTTCCGAAAAACGGAACTGCACCTCGCCATAAGACGATAGCGGACTAAGAAAACTCTAGTGGTAAACCCTGAGACGAAAACTCTCACAATGGGTGAAGTCTTATCAGAGCAGAAGAACTAAATTAGAATAATACTAATTAAATAGTTATATTAGTATAATTCATTACAACAACATTAATAATTAAAGTTTGTTTCATATTTTATTTATGAGGATTTGGACACCATGTCAGAATTGTGCCAATTGGATGGACCACACTACAAGAAAAACTACTTTTTTAACGACCAATATATAACGAGGACTCTCAAAATTCGTCGTGAAAAGTATCTTTTAACATCGACTAATGAGTTGGTCGTTATTAAGTTTATCTTTAACGACCAAATATGAAAAGTTATCATTATTAATCAATATGCAATCATCACTTGTGCTGATTAATTTTCTTTGGATATGATATTTTTTTAAATAATTCATTAAAAGAAAAATTCGGAATAATAATAAGATTAATTAACCTTTCAAAAAAATAATATTAATTAAACTTATGAGTACAACGCCAAAATTTCACCCCAAATATTATGTTCGCTCCTAAACTAGGATTCATAGTCGCGCGCTTAAGGTAAAAAATAAAACCTCGACCGCCAATCATTTGCCCTAATCTCCTCTTCTTCTAAGTCTAAATTCAATCGTTCGATCGACCACAAACCATTCTCATATATTTCTTCCATCCAGGTCAATCATTCCCTGGAACTAGCTGGATCGCTCAATCGTTTGTATTTGGCTAGAAACCGCATCATTCCATCAGGAAGAAGAAATCTAATTCAATGTTCTATAAATAATAACCCTTATGATATTGCCGATGCTTTTCAATGTTATTTGCTCACAGGACTGATGTCACATGTACTGCCCTCAAGGTGTTCGATGAAATTCCGGAAGGTGAAATCAGAATAAAATAGTTGAAACAAATAAAGATATGCATATCTCTCAGGCTAACAATTCTTCTCCTTAGGTAACATCACAGAAGTGAACATATGATTATTACCTAACATCTTCTCGTGCATGAGAATAATGATTTGTTTTAGTAATTTTGTCCCTCACTGGTTCTAATAATCTCTAACACTTTCCTGAGGTATATTGACTACTGATTAGTGAAGTACTTTTAGCTTTCATATCTGGCATATGATTTTTTAAAAGTTTCTCTTTTCTTTGCCGGATTTTGTAATTGTAATAATGTAAAATGCTAATTATTGTCATGTTATCCCCAATAACTTCTTATCATTTGTTTTGTGCATACAGGATACTTTTTTAGCAATGTCCTGAACGACGTCAATTATACAACAAATAAGTGACATTTGAGCAATAATTAATACATCTCTCTAACTCTTTTTTTTATTGTATTTCTGCCAGTTTTAAACAGGGCAACATACGCTAATAGCATTACCTAGCTAGCTGTCATTGGAGCTATCTGCTTTAGAATGTGGCAATCTCTAAGGAAAAACAATATCGGAGTGCTTCTGCCAGCACTACTATCTGCTTTAGAATGTGGCAATCTCTAAAAACGGTAATTTGCCTTTTAGTTATTTAGTCGTATCTTGTATTTTAATCACTTGCAGGGATGTCTTTAAGCTTATAGAGGCCTTCAAAAGTCAAAACAATAGGGGTGACAGAAGCATATACAAGATCAATTTGTTTCTATGTTTAAAGTATGCTAGTCGTTAAAGAAAAACAAAAAATGGGAAAAAGTATGGAAGCTAAATAAGGAACATGACATATTCTTTTTTTAGAAAACTTGTTGTGTGGTAATGTCTTTCTATGTAGGTTACTCTTTT